TCATGCAGCGCTGCATTCTCTTCTCCTTCTCTCTCTATCTTGGTTGTAGATAGCATCTGGACTAGATAGCTGGAATCCAGTTACTAGAGACCGCTCACATTAAGCCTGCGATAAAAGCCAAGCTATCGTTCCTTCCTTACCTGATTCTGAAATTGAACGCTGTGGTTAAACAGCGTGTCATAGCGCGCTGTCATCTACCGCTTAACGTGCTCTCTTGCTTTCCACTCCCCCTACTTAGGCTTCTACCGCATTCTCCTCTGAGCACTTAGCAACTCTCGCCCAGTGCTCCTCCAATATTATCAGACGTCTCCAGGTCACATTCGAACATATATCACTGTACCTATACTATAACAGTGCGTTATTAAATAAGCTCCGATAGTTTCCAATGCATTAACTCTCAGTAGCTCCAGTCTGCAATCCGTTGACAATCCAGAACATGGATACGATCAATCGCACCTAACATCTATCCCGACTAAATGACAGTTTAGTCATTCGTCAAAACCGCAGGCCAGAAGAAGCGATAATTGATATCGAAGTCTTCGATACCATTACTGAACCAGCCTGGCTCAACGTATTGAAACATTTCAAGCAATACAGTCGACGGGATCGAATGCACGTAAGAACATTCGATCACCTCCCCAAGGATTCCAGAGTCCTCATCCTGCTATCTCAAATTGTACAACACTTCACACTACCAGATGATGGAATTAGCAATAGGCATCCTGTTGAAAACAACGCTGGGCGTTGTGTAAGATCACACAGCGACCTGTGGCGCATCCCAGAGTCTGAGCGGATAGGTTTTGCATGGATTGCGAGTCGAGACACCATCTATCGCGATATCGACTGAAATCCATTGGTACCCGAAAATGAATACAACATGACTCCTACCATACTGCTGGCATACTTAGCTGCTGTTGCGTTCCCTGAAACACCACTCATTCAACGAGTCGCGCTTTGGAATAGAACGGCGTGCAATCACTGTTAACGGAACTCGATGACCACGAATCGTAATTTTGCGCCGCCGTTTGGTAGATGCTATCAGGTCCCAGATCCTCGAGATCTCGCTCGCAGAGCCAAGGCGTTCTCTGGACGCTGTTTATGCTGTGTCTGTCATAATCGGCCGGATTGCAGTCTCATCACCGCGCGACCACCAGATCGAATCATTGAAATACGAACAAAAATATGTCGCTCGAATGACTCAGACCCAGCTTCTACGCATTCACTTTGACCGAGATATACTGGGTCCACCTGATGGCTGGGAAAACGATGTGTACTATCGACGTGGACGTAAGAGTGCGCTTCTGGGCAATTACCTTGCCTTGCGACAGGCCATCGGCGACAGACCGTCGACTCAACAACTTGCTGAGCTTCCACCGGACATCCTTGAAAATGAGTATTGATGCTGGGAGAGATAGGTATAACATGATGGATAAAGTGGGGAGAATAGTCATAAACGGGTATAAGCTTGTAGCATGACTAGCAGCTGGTAACTTTGAATTTCTCTATATTGACTCTTGAGCCATAATTTCCTTGATCTTGTGATGTCGTATTGTAGCGGTGGCCAGATGTGGCCTACGCGCACCAGGCTAGGCCTAACTCGCCCACTTCGCCTTGTTGTGTAAGACCAGCCGACCCTTACGCTCCTCATCTGTTTTCCATTACCACCATCTTCAGCCGGCTGTCGCCGCCTGTATCATGCTGGTTAATCTACTAATACTTACTCTAGTTTTCGGCTCCTGGAGGCTTGAGGCCTCTGTGTTGTATCCTGCGTACCTCGATTCCCTCAATGTTCCGCATTATCTGTCACGCCTCTCTGTTCACCCTCTGCCCTGAGGGCATGTTCTATAAGTCCGATAGCTTTAATAGCTAAATTACACCTCCTTAGGATAGCCCTAAAGGTTGTTCCTTCCCAGTTACCCTTTAAAATTCCGTTTCCTCTTGTCCTTGAGCGACTTGTATTGCAGCAGGATATGCATAACTGTTTGCGGGCCTTGGTAGCGCCCCCCCCCCCCCCCCGCAGGTCGTGTCCTGGTATCCTGGTATTCTCTAGCTGGTCAGGCAGTGGCGAAAGCAGTTTCCGGTCTTCAGGAGATGTATGTGAACACAATTGAGCTCTTTATTCCCAAGGGTGAGAGTTCTCGCTGTTGTTGTGCTTTGCGCCCTGAGCGTGATTGGTGGATAGGGTGCCCCACGGTAGCAGTATATACCGTACCGTACCGTTCGGTATGGTATATGGTACGGTAAATGGGACGGTATCACTATACCAGATACC